ATTTTCGTTTCCTGATTTTTTTTGTCATGATTTTTCATCAACAATCGGTGGCACGCATGGTGTAAATTTATGTAAGTGTGTATTTGTTTGTTATAGGATCTTGTGGTGTGAGTGAAAGGTATTGTTATAAGTTTTAAGACAGACAGAAACCGAGGCATACAACTGAGCACCGCATTGGTCCGGCAGAGACCAGGAATCAATGCTTGGCTACCTTAGCTCCAGGACCTTGTAAGACCCCTTCCATAAAGTGACATTTAGACCTTATAAAAGATCCATCGTGACCCCCGCCTACCTCCAGTGCTGTGCCAATTGTTTCTGGACAATGATGTTGCTGAATTTTGTAAGTATTTTAATTATCTATAATTCACAAAACTTTTCCTTTTTTTTTTTGAAAAAGATTCAAATTCAAACCAAATGGGAGTGGTTGGTAGAAACTTATAGGAGTAACAGTTGATTTAATATATTTTTCTGCTTCCGAAAAACAAAATTAATTTTTTTGAAAAGTTTCAGAAGCAAATAAATTTTTTATATTGTTTGCATTAAAATTATTAAATTCAAATAAAAATTTAAATAGGAATGAATATTGTAGACGATATAATTTTTTTTTGTTTTGTTTGGTCAATTAGTATAGTAGTAGTAGTAGTAATAGTGGTATTAGTAATTAATTTGCGTAATTAAACTATTTTCGGGTACCATATGGAAACCGGCATTTATTGGTACCATAAAACCACATGAAGAAAGCAGTGCAATCTAATTTACATTGGGCATATTTATGTCGACCTTGGTGCAACCACGTCTGAATGTCAATTTTCTACTTACAATTACATATGTACCTTGCTTTTTTAAACAATACCTTTATACAAAAGGGCATTAATGTTAACACGGTACTTCTCGAAAATTGCTTTCGAAACGAAAACGTCTACTTAATTTAATTGTTTGTTTTCCCAAACAACTTTCCAAAAATATGTCTCAATAAAATCAGGAAGCCTTTAAACAATGTATAATAATTAATTTTACTCGAATTGCAAGGTAATCAAAAATAATTTAATTGCGTACGTTAAGTGAACATATACATTGTCGCATTTAACCAATAAATAATATAAATAGATACCTACATAGCAAAAAGAGACAAGGACAAGGGTTCTCAACTTAAGTTTCTTTTTTTGTCGGAAAGTGGTTTCACTGTCGCGTTTCTGGCCAAAGAACAAAATACTTTCGTAATTACGTAAAATTAGACCACCTTATACATTACATACTGCATGCATAAATACACATGTAAAATCGAAATAACATTTTATTAATCGTTAAGTACCCTACACTTAAATGTCAAATGGCCGATTTAAGTAGAAACACACCTTAATATTATGCAGAAATAAAATATACTTTTACGTTTCTTTAATGCGATTTCGCAGTCGAAATAAATCATTTAACTGATCTACTTTTATAAAATTTGTATCGAAAGACCTTCAAAAGATGCCCCGATTTGTCACCGAGTCGACCTTTGTAGATCATTAAAAATGAATTAATACTTTTGAATTTCTGAGGCCCCTCATTAAAACTCGATTACTACTTTTGTTAATTGATTATTTTTTTTGAATTCTAAAGGTACTAGTGGCCAGCCTGCTGGTTGGAGCTTTAGGTCAAAGGGATTATCTGGATGAACCTCTGCGAGCACCACCACCAAGGAGACCAGCGCCAGCTAGAATAGACCCTGACTATTCCGGACCCGCGGCTCCTAGACCCACGCCTGTTCCTATTTTAAAACAAATCAACAGGTACTTGTCCTACCATTTGTTAGTACCTAATCAATTATTAATTTAATTACTTTTAGGCACAACGAAGATGGTTCGTACACCTACGGTTACGAAAGTGCCGATGGGTCGTTCAAAATTGAGACCAAACTACCAACAGGGGAAGTGAAGGGTAAATATGGTTTTATCGATGACGTAGGCAAAGTGAGGGTTGTGGAATACGGTGCGACCAAATATGGTTTTGAACCGTCCGGTGAAGGTATAACTGTAGCTCCGCCAACTTTGGTCGACGACACCACACACAAGGATGGTACCTTGAAAGCGGAATATGCCGACGATCTCTACGAACCTGCCGCACCAGCCCCTAAGAGCAAATACCAAAACTATCCTCAAAACTTCCCATCAAGAAATGTTGCGCCGCAATCATTCCAGCCGGCGCCACCAAGGCCAAAGCCACAGCAATATGCACCATTGCCACCCCCACCACCAGCCCCACAAAGAAATTTCGGGCCCGCGCCTCCTCGACCCAACATTCCAGGAGCATCTCTTGCCCTTGATTTTGGAGGACCCGCACGAGCATCTCCTGCACCCGCTAGACCTCAGGCACCTCGTCAATCATTCCAACCGGAAGCAGTCCCAATAGAAGAGGACAATTACGAGCAAGATCTTCCGGTACCACCAAGGCCAAAAGTCACATACGCACGACCAGCACCCCCACCACCAAGACCCCAACAGCCTTCCTTCCAGCCTGATTCCGACTTTGGACCACCACCACAGCGACCTGCGCACAGACCAGCAGCAGTTACAAGGCAAATAGGAAGCGGACCCGGAATTTTGGATCAGCTGGCCAAGGACTATGCACTTCCGGCCAACGGAGGAGCTCCCCTTCATGATATCAGCTTCGGTTACTACTAGTACTGGTGTTGTAAGTGGGGGAACAATTATGAAAATGTAGTAAATAATTTGCGTTACATGAGAGAAAGTCAACCTTGTGGTGCCCTTGATGTGAGTTGTTTCCATTGTCAGACTTTATATCACATATGTAGGTAAAGTTCTAAACTACCTTTTCGATGTATTCGCGTGATAAAATGAGTATTGGTAAAATCAAATTTTCTTTCGCTGAAAAAATTCTCCTATTCTTTTATTTCTTCATGGGGAAGTATTTTTATTTTTCTTCCGATTGAGCAACTCTCTTTCTTGCTTCTATCCAGTTTCATTACCACTTCTACTTCACTATTAGTTTCTTTTGATTAGGTGCTGATGCTTCTTTAAATTTGTTTTTATTGTATTTTATTTAACTGTTTGTCTTTCAATATGTTTAACTATCTTAAGAATTTCTGATGTATAATCGGGTCCGTGTACATGGGTAGTCATACTTATGGTATTTTTATTTATGTATTTTAATATTGTGTAATACCTTTCCCGTTCGCAGACTGTTACGTTTTATATGTAAGTACGTATAGCATTGATTGTATGCTGGCGTGTGCCCGTGTATTTTACTATTACATAGGCGTCAATATGTTGTAGAGCTGTTTTAATAAAGAAAAAAATTATAAAATACCTACTCGACGTCAGTGTGTCTTATTGGGTGTGGCACCACTATCTCAAGGCTGACCGATCAACTATCTTTTTCACAAAACATTAAACAAAAGAAATGCGTTAAGTAGTCCAGAGGTTAGAAAGCTATTTGGATACCAACGTTGGTAATTATTTATTACACCCACGTTCTCTTTTCGGTTAGGTACAATAGGTACCGGACGCAAGCAAAGAATTTCAAATATTTACATATTTACACGATACTTATACAGTTGTTTTATGTTTTATTCCTATTCTGTTACCATCAAATTATAAAAAAAGGGAAAACGGATCGTCTTCCCAAGGTAATTACGGCACAAGGGTGCCATTGGAATCTCTTTAGTCGCCTTTTACGACACGTCGAGACAACGGTGAGGCTATTCTAATCACCCGACCTCACACGGGTACCATTTTATAAGATCTTTTTTACATAAGCGAAATCACATACATATTATAACCTAAAAGTGCAGATTCTTTTTTACCCTTTTAGACTTAAGAGAACGACCAATATAAAATTTTTCCAACCAAAACTTTTAATGTGTTTTTATTATTACAAAGGAAACTAACAAAAAAAATGCAGTGTTTCTACACTAAAATTGTATTTATTGTAAATTCACTCATTCCGAATATCACGCTCAGTACAAATTCCTATACAATAATTTAAACTATGACAATGAAACTGAAACAATCGACAATATATAGGAAAAATGTATAATTAATGTTACCTATCAATACAAATTTGATAAAACTACAAAACTTATAATTATTTTGGCCTTAAACGTTTCAAAAAAGAAAAAATTTAAACGTTAAGTTGCAGCCTGTCTTTCCAAGCTAAAGTTATAGTTGTACTGTTTTTCCAATTGTTGTAAACTTTTCTCTGTAATAAAAGGTATCTGGGCCTAAAATAAACCCAGTTAGTTAACAGAACCAACAATTAGTCAAAAATATTTACCGCTTCTTTTCCGTATGAAGTCATAAACTTAGGATTTAAAACAAATGGAACTCCCGCCAGTTCTTGATGCATAGTATTGGTTAGTGTTTGATGAGAATTAATTGGGGGATAAGGTGCTGGTAATGGTGGTTGAGGAGCTGCTCTGGAAGGAACCGGAGGAATATATCCGGGCTTAAGAATTTCATAATCGTGATCGTCATCGAGATTCGGATAAACATCTGATGTTTTAGAATTGTCCGTGTTCCTCCTGTTTATGTCGTTCTTATTTGCTGGACTCGATGGATTTTGGTAATCCTGAACGTTGCCCATCTTATAACAAATAGTCACTCCGTTAATTTCCCTAAAAGGAATTAATAAATTACAAGTACGTAGAGTCACGTATTAAACAACGAAAGTATGCTATACTCAAGCGAGCGATATCTAGCGGAGAGTGGAAGAAATATTTCGCGGGGACTTACCCAGCTAGATCGAAACCCTCCGGTGCTTTTTTTAGACGACTACAAACTATTATATCGGTTACAGCAGAAGACGTACTATTTAATGATGCTAGTTTGTAACAAAGTTGCTTTTTACGCCAAGCTTTTTGATCGGTATCGACAGTTTTGTAGAGTAAACTATAACCTTCAGGTGGCGCTGCTTTTTCATTTATTATACTGACTTCCTGAACCACAAATCCAGGAATACCTATTTACAGCAATTTATAATAGATAGATAAGAGTGATTATTTACAGAAAACTGCAAATAGTGTAACAAATAGTTTAGATTTTAGGTTATGCATGAATTAGGACTACTTTATTTTTCTTTTGTATTTCAACCCAGCATCCCAAATAACAAAAGACAGATCATACCTTCGGTTTTTGAGAGGCACAAATATCTGGCAGTCTTATTTATTTTCAAAAATGATCCCTCTCTCCACAAGTCAGCGTCTTGGTCTGCGTCGTAAGTCTTTATGATAGGATAGAATCCTAGGGGGCACTTATCAGCACTATTGACAATCTAAATTTGGAATTTAAGAGTGATAATGACGTTCGTCAAACAACCCACTGTCAAAAATGTGTGTGGGTCCAAAATAAAAACAACAATCTCGTAATTTTACCTGAATTGCTGTCACAGGCCGGTCGTCAGGCAAAGCTGATGAAAGAGTATTCACAATTTTGTTCGATTGTGAATGTTGTAACATTATTTGTGATAATAGATGGTGTCTGAACTATAATACAAAACAAAAGTCACTGAACTGATCTATGAGTGTAATGTTAAAAATAGCCGACAAGTCTCTATTTACTTACTTCTAACGGTCATACTACTTTTCTACACTTTTGGAAATGAATTCCATGAAATAAACAGTCACTTTGTTTAAAACTTAACTACTTTAACCAGTTCTATCGCGATTTAAGTTTGCATAATGAATTAGGATGCGTTTAAACTCAGTCCTTTAAGTTCACAAATCAGTCTTTTCTATATGTATTAATATCTATTAAAATTTCATTAATTATGAGTCATGATTAGTTCTGGTTGTGACTATTGCCTCTGATCCTAGGATATTAACCATGTTGGAATTGAATTATTTCATTTTTGTTTGGAACCTACAGTGACATTTTAAAACTTTTAAGTTTTAAATTCCAAATAATCAAAGAAAAGTAGTTTCGACTCATTTATAGTCATACTAATAATTGCGAATCAGTCAATCAAATAGTTACCAACAGTAATCACAAATGCAATCATAGTCATTACTGATCAATTATTCCCAATATGGCCCAATCAGTAACAAATAGTAATAAAATGGTAACAAAACTTATTTAGCTTCTCGACATGTCATAGGATGGTCATAAGCATGAAAATATAGGCATAAGACATGTCAGAGAGATAGTACAATACTTAGTCCATAGATAATAGATCTACAAAGGGTAGACTTAGTCACATTCATGTTATTATTATCTTCACATACTTTGGCGCGAATTTACAATTTTGTAAAGAACAAAATGAAAGGAAGTTAACCTAACTTTGCTTTTCATACTCAAATCTGTTAAATATTTTCGAAACAATGAACGGAAATAACGATGATAACATAGAAACTATAGAATGTTTGAATGAATATTTATCAACACACAATAATTCTGAGCCATTTTCTTATTTTTCCAAAGTCCCCGACGACTGCAAAACGTATCCCTGTGTACTAGGAATCGATGAAGCTGGACGAGGCCCCGTCTTGGGTTAGAACAAAGCATGCCATTGTTTAACTATTTTTACATTTTAACTATTGACTGTAGGGCCAATGGTATATGGAACGGCATTTTGCTGTATCAACTCAATGCAAATCTTGGCGAATTTGGAATGTGACGATTCCAAAGCCTTAACCGAAGAAAAACGGGTAGAAATACTTTCCAACTTATTGAAACAACGTAATAAAGTAGGTTGGGGAGTGGAGGTAATATCCCCCACATTTATCTGTAACAGTATGTTAAGCAGAAGCAAGTATTCCCTCAATCGAGTATCCATGGACTCAGCAGTTGGTCTGATAAGAAAAGCTGTTGAAAATGGCGTTAATATTAACGCTGTATACGTGGATACAGTAGGACCCCCTGAAAAATACCAAGCATATTTGGAGAGCTTGTTTCCAAACTTCAAAATAACAGTTGCCAAAAAGGCTGATTCAACATATCCAATAGTATCAGCTGCCAGTATTTGTGCCAAAGTAACAAGAGACCAAGCTCTGAAGGTATGGAAATTTTCTGAAGATCTGGCTGAAGCTGCATCATCTTTTGGAAGTGGTTATCCTGGGGGTAAGTAAGAATTCAGTTTTATATCTGCAATTGGCAGTGCAAGATTCAGTGATCTTAAAATTTGGTATGGGGTAGGTCTAAAAGCTTCTCTTGTTTTAATTTTATGAAATAAAGAACAGTGACCATGTATTTTGGTTAATATTTTGCAGATCCGGTGACAAAAAAGTTCTTATTCGATTTCTGCGATCCAATCTTTGGATTCCCCCAATTAGTGAGATTTAGTTGGTCTACTGCCAGTACAGCATTAGAGGAATCTGCTTACCATGTTGAATGGGAAGCTATCGAAGAAGATGAAAAACAATCCAAGAAAAGCAGAACCCTGATGACCTCCTTTTTTAACATGACAAAGTCAGAAACTGATTCAAATGTTCAAAAACATAATTTTTTCAAACGCAGAAATTTATCGTCGACGTTAGAATTGTAATTATATTTATTTATATTGTACCTTCACGCGAATAATAAAATTCCTTATTTTTGCAGTACCTACAATATTTTATTTACTGATTAAATAGTTTTGCCTTACATATTCGAATGTAAACAAGAATTGCTTATTAATCAATCTACTTCTTGTATCATTATCATAATTATTACTATAACTTTACAGTTTTTTTACACAACAATGATGTGGCAGAAGTAAAACATGCTATTACTGAAATAGTCTTATCAATCAGCTTTTTAACGAAGTAACAATAATAAATAATTATTTCAAGTCGCACAAGCAACAAAAAATCGTCCTACTACATATTAAAGCCATCCTACGTAACTTTACAATCACATTTCCTTAAATGCTTTTTTTTGTTTACTGTAAGAGATAATACACATTTAGATTTAATAAAAGATAAAAATTCGCTTACTAACCCTATTTAATATTTATTATGAACGCACGGTAATTGTATTGTTAGTTATTTAATTAACAATTAACAGTAAGCTATATAGTATGTATTTACGTACCAGATACAGTAACTTCTTTCTTTTTAATGGAATAAATTACTTTGGTTTAGGAGGGTGGATTAATATTATAATGGGTGTATGTAGTTGGTGAAGAACGTTTTTTCTCCACATTTTAGGACTTCTATTGAAAGTTTAAAACCTTACAAAATCTAAATCACTTTGGTACCTAACTTTCAAAACATAAATTGCAGTGTCATTACAAATACTGTTAAGCTCTTTACCCATCATCTTCACCGTCATCATCATTATTTTTAATAACAGGATAAAACAAGGAAGAATGAGAAGACTGACTATATATTAAAAGAAACTTTTTTCATAGAGTTCTAGCCGCCTAGAGTGGCGAGTGCCTTAAGAAAACTCTCTGGTGTTAGGATGTGGGAAGAACCGATGATGACCTCCCAATTTTTAACCGCGTTTGTCACCTCGTAGGCACATCGGATTTCTGAAAAGCAAACCCCTCCCACAACGAAAACTATCAAACGTGGGACATTTTTTATCGTCTGCTGGCCCTTGTCTTTGTGCCAATGCCCATAGCGAGCACTGAAAAAGAAAAATTTGAAGACAATAACAATGTTAATGCAATATATTGTATGTATATTTGACGTGTACCTTGTTGGGGCATGATATCCTGTGGTTTGTGCTCGACTTACGTAAAAGGGGAAATGTTTCTGATCGAGTTTGTCGTCGATTGCATCCTCCATTACGTCCTTAATAACAGGTGTCCAACGTGACATCTGGTATGTTTGTTCAGTGATGCGCTCCTTTCTTGGAACTGTGTATTGCTTTTTTCTAATTCCACCCTAAATATGATTCTGTTACATTAACATTTCCCAAAATCAACAAATCTAATAATTACGTCTGAGATTACATTCACCCCCAAATACTGTAAGTTTGCGATTGTCTGCTTGTCCTTTATTTGCGCATGGGTGGCAAGTTTGGATAGGTTTTCGTCCGTGATACCATTTTTGGTCATTGCGTACAGTGCAATGATCCTCATTTTGTCATACTCGTTGGTTATCTTGGGATCCAGTAGTATTGGAACAATATTACGCATATGATCTTTAATTTTTTCTCCTTCGGCATCGGTGCCCATGGCCAAGTCCTACAGCAATTTCTTTAGTGGAAAATCATTTACCATTTACAAGGACTTACTTGTTCAACTTTACACAATTTATCCACATATCCTTGATATGCCTTCATACAGTCTTCTGCTAAGTGTAAATGAGTAGAATATTTAGAAAGTTCTTTCTGATATTGTGGCATTTTCTTTATCATTTGGGACAAATCCTTGATTGACTGTTTATCTGTTTGAGTCATGCGCTTGGAATCGGTGAACTTTTTCAAATTTTTGGTAACACTTTGAGAAACGACGGCGATGTGCTGATGACGCAATTCTACCCACAATTCGTCGTTTTCGTCAAGCAAAACTTCCTTCTTTTCAGCCGATCCCGCCGTAGCTTCATAGCTTTGTGAATAAAAAAATAAACACATAATTTTCATTTGCTTACCACAAATGTAAGTCAATTTTTTTTTACCGATATACGTCGTTTTCGATTGGTAATAAATCGTAAGCCATTGCCTGGAATGTTAATTCATGTAAGAGAGGCGATACACAATCGAACCCTCTGTCCAAAATTAAGAGTTGTGAACGAGCTTTTTCCGGTCCTTCACCCATTGTCGGTTCATCCGCTTTATAAGCGTCTAGTTTTTGTTGGATTAACTGTGCTAATTCTACATTTTTGTCCCAATCCCTACGTTGAAAAGTCATTGACACAATTTAATTATCTATGTTACGGGTAGAAACTTTCTTACGCTCTATAGCGCACTGAAGGGTATTCCCCGAGAGTAGCACAGAGGGTTGCAATCTGTTCGGCCATACGCTCCATATTGGCAGTTCTTGCAGCAGAAAATGAAGGATCATAAAAACACTGAAAGGTGTCGGCGCAATCTAATGAGAATACCTGAAATTTCACATACATATCTATTCCAAAAATGCGTCAGTTGTGATTGCTATTTTAAGCGTCACCTTAACGTTTAACGTATTTGAGTGGCATGCAATTTAGTTTAGCATAAACAACAAAGCAAAGATCGGACATCATAAACATGATGATTAACAAAAACGTAAAAAAGCGACATATAATTTCAAATTTCGTGACACACACCTGAGATTCGTATGGAAGAAAGGCGATATTGATTTCCTTCAATGTTTTTATTTTCTTGGCAGCGCAAGATTTACACAATTCATTGAACAATTCCTCCGGGCATACTAAACAATAAAACCATCTTTAATCTACTCAATCAATACCTAGAGGGCAGGGGGATTATTTAAATGAAGGCAAAGGGACCTAAACCTTTGAATGTGAGTCAGACTTCTTTTTGGAATGAAAATAAAAACATGAGACAAATTGGTAAAGGATTTCGCGGCTAGTAGGAGAACTGATGCTGTTCCGATTCGGGCCTAAAGGTCATCGCGGATTGGAGTTGCTTCCTAACGTTTCGTTATCATGAGTGGCGAACTTCAGAGATTCTTCCATCTCCTACGCTGGATGTGGACTGGTGCTATTAAAACTTTAGGAAGCAATACTAAAAAAAAAAAAAAAACTTGGGTGTTTCATTCCCACCAGCTACTAATGCTGGTTGGCGGGCAGTCCCTCTCAGAAGGTAAGGCGGAAGGCGCCCTCTTCAGCCTCCTTTCAGGAATCGTGGGAATGGGTGGGTGGTGGTTCGGGTGAGAAATATGAAATGGACGAAATGAAGACAGAAGATTACGTGTGGAATATTACTGCCCCAGCATTTGCCTAAGTGATCCAAGGAAACCACAGAAAAACTTGGACCAAGGCAGACGGACCCGGAATGGAACCGGCATTCTCCCGAATACTAAACAATGGACTAAACCACTAGGCCATGCCGCATGGTGGAAGCAACACCAAAAACGACAGCTTCTATACCCGAATCAGGACAGCATCAATAAAATAAAAAAAAATATGTTGTAATCTACTTCAGGAGATGTATAAAGTACCTATAACCAATAATACAGAAACCGAGAAACTGTCAAACTGATTTTGACTTGCGAACGACACAAGATAAAAAACATCTGTTTAAAATCGTAGTTTAATTATATTAAAATAAGCAGCTAGTATTTTAAAGCAAACAGTATTTTAGTTCATTCAATTTTTTTAGAAACAGTTTATATCTAATTTAGATAACTGCGCAAATCTGGTAAGTCTATTACTAAAACACATCATTGCCACCACCAACCCCAAAACACAATTTTACGCCTCTGCGTTTTGAGTTAGTTTTAATTAGAAGAAGCTAAAAATGCAGTTATATTTTTTTTAATACCTGATCTTCTACTGGTACAAATGCAATATTAATTTCCTTTAGGGCTTTGATAAATTTCGCGACTCTAGCCTGGCTTAGTTGATAAAAAAGATCATCAGGGCATGCTGAGAAGAGGTTCATAACAGCATATTACATAATGAAATAATAAATAATTTTGGAAATATATTTCTTAATCACCTTCTGTAAAGAAAACATGTGCCGCTCTATACATTGGGCGAGGCCCTTCGAAATCGTTTATAAGAGAGTGAACAGATTTTTCACTTGGAGTTATCAAATACACTCCCTCCATTGTCTGCAAAGGTTCGCGTCTTTTATTGATATCTTCCACCACTGCAAAACGGTAATAAATATTTAAAAATAATTGTTCTAATGGAGAAATAAAACTAACAAGTAATGCCCTCAGCTGAAATGTCGTGCATTTTACAACATGCAGAGACCATTCGCATTGAAAGTTGGTCCACAACAAGAACTCTCCATTCGACGTGTTTGGAAGGTCCATTCTTTTTTGGACCTTTGTACTTAATGACTTCATTCATGATTTCTGAAAAAAATAGTTACTGTTTTTCGCATCAATATTGGGGAATCCCCTACTACAATTACAAACAGCGACACCTTTTATCAATTTACACCTATCAAAACCCTTCTTAATAAAAATGTAATCTATTGTTAGTTTTAATAATGTCGCTCTTTTTGAATTGTTTTTAATAAATTTACTAACTTGTTAATTATTATAAACAAAGAATTTATTTTAAAGTAGTCTACAAAGAAATAAAGCGAAAGTTGTGATTGCAGAATGTCTCAATTTTGTTACACCCTCCATGACTCATAACAGCTGAAAAATGTTTCATACATGAATAATACCCCCAAATAAAAAATAACATATTGGTATATTTTAATAAAAAAAACAGTGCTGTAATGTACGAATGAATGGCGTCAAAATGAACACTTACTTTGACCCACTTGTCCTTTAAGTGCCATTTTGTTAGGTGTTTCTTTACTTCAAAATGCCTGTTATTGTGAATTTCTTGACACGAGTGTGAAAATCAATTCCAAAACACTTCCCAAGTTGCACCGTAAAAAGATTTATACAAATATGCAATATAATGTCAAATTAAAACGTTTTGTTCTGTGGTGGCAAGTGGTAATGTCTGTCAAATTCGTCAAAATAATTGTTAAACCACCATTGATTTTCTACATAATTATCGGGGAGTTAAATTGTGTATGAACACCTTTTCATATCTGTTAATAGACACCACATATTCATTATTCTAATTTAAGAGATTTAGAAATAACAGAAGCTTGGCTTAACATCACCACTCGATGCCTTGAAGGTAAAAGCTCTAATCTATGGCACCCTAAGGTAATGTAACCAGTTCCGTTCATAAATAAGGATCCGTCTGAACTTGTCTATGGTCCGTCCTTAAACTCTATGGTTCTTAACCTCAATTGTGTTTGTGAGGGTCTGAATAATATTGTGATAGAAAAACAGGAGTATATCACTAAAATATGGTAAGCTATACTAAAAAATACAGTTGCTAAAAAATTTATAATAAAAAAAGCTGAACATCTAGCGTTCTATTTAAAAATTTAATTTGGCAATTAAAGTGATGATGGCAGATATTTTTTAAAAACGGCATCTGTTCCAGCAATTACAGCTTAAAATAAAGCTTTTCACCCCAAAATTGAAGAGTTAATATTTGTATAATGTACTAACGCTATTCATTTTGTGTTTTAGGGGTTTGTGAAGGTGGTAAAAAACAAACAGTACTTTAAACGGTACCAAGTTAAATTTAAGAGGCGCCGCGAAGGTAAAACCGACTATTATGCCCGAAAACGTCTTATCACTCAAGACAAAAATAAATACAACACCCCAAAATATCGCTTCATCGTTCGTTTATCAAATAAGGACATTACATGTCAAGTTGCATATTCCCGAATAGAAGGTGACAAGATTCTGTGTGCTGCTTATTCCCACGAGTTACCTCGCTATGGCGTTAAAGTGGGACTCACGAATTATGCTGCTGCATACTGTACGGGTTTGTTATTGGCACGAAGATTATTGAAGCAGTTGGAACTTGACAAGATATATGAAGGTACTACAGATGTAAATGGCGATGAATACAATGTAGAAGATGTGGATAATGGCCCAGGAGCTTTTAGGTAAATTATTGTCTGTTAGGTTTTCAGTTACTATTGCCAGAAAAAAACTACTTCCTTAATGATGAAGTAAGCACATGCGCGTCATCTGACTAGCATTATTTTTGGGTAAAGTGTTGTGGTTTTACATGTTTTATGTATGTCACATCATTTCATCCAATTACTTGTTTTAGATATGATTGAAGTGCAATTCTGAATATTTTTTTTTTTTCAATTTTAACCAAAGGTAATTTGTGCATTAATGTATTAATAATTTTTTCTATTGTTTAAAGGTGCTACTTGGACGTTGGTTTGCATAGGACTACAACAGGAGCTCGTATTTTCGGAGCCATGAAGGGTGCCGTTGATGGAGGGCTCAACATTCCTCACTCTGTAAACCGTTTCCCTGGTTTTGACAATGAAGGTAAATCTTTAAAAGCTGATGTTCACAGAAGTCACATTTTTGGACAGCATGTTGCTGAATACATGAAATCACTCGAAGAAGAAGACCCTGAGGCGTTTAAACGTCAGTTTAGCCAATACATCAAGCTTGGTATAGCTGCCAATCAGGTATGTTTCTATACATATTGATTTATTAATCTGTAATTGCTCTAAGAACGTCCAACTTAATTACTTGAGCAATGCCATTATTCTCAAGTGTCGCAGTTGGACAAAATTATCAATGAAGTTGCTCCCTGTATTTTACCAGAAATTTTATGGTGATTTACTACAGGGTGACTTGAACATGATTTATTTAATTTTGCCTACTTAAAATGTCTTGTTATGAATTTGTTTTTTTTTTTGTTGCATTTAGATTGAGAACATTTATAAAAACGCTCATGCTGCCATCAGGGCTGATCCTTCACCACAACAGAAGGAACCTAAAGCTCCACCAGCGAAGAAGAAGAGGTGGAACCGCGAGAAGCTGTCATTGGCAGAACGCAAGAACCGCATTGCCCAGAAGAAGGCTTCGTTCTTGAAAAAATTAGAGGCGCAGGCTGAACCATAACCTGTTCTGACGTTTAAATAAAATAATAAACATCTTTAACATATTACCTGAAGTTTTTTATTACATTATTTAGCTTTTGGAATCCCAAAAGATTAATAATTATAAC